CCATCGGTCTCTCGTCCCTAATTGCCCCTCGAGCTGAGAGTCTCGCTTTTAGAGAGTCACACCCCATCATGGGGTCTGGAGTCACGTGTAGGCCCAGCACGGGTAAGAATTACTTCCCAACACCCCACCGACTCCAATTCGGGACCCAAACCCACACCCCCGCCCCCCCCCCCCCCCAGCATTAGCCTCCAGATTACATACCCAGTGACCTCACCAATGGGTTACCATCTTCCCAAAACTGAGTGTTACCTGGAAGAAAGTGGGTACATACGTCCCGCTCCCTCGGCGCTGACCCTCCGACAGCGCCCGCTCCCTCAGCACTGACCCTCCGACAGCGCCTGCTCCCTCAGCGCTGACCCTCCTACGGCGCCCGCTCCCTCGGCGTCGACCCTCCAGCAGTGCCCGCTCCCTCGCTGCCTACCCTCCGACAGCGCCCGCTCCCTCGGCGCCGACCCTCCGACAGCGCCCGCTCCCTCATGAACCCACAACCTCTGGTCTCTGAGGTGAATGTCCCTTAGGCCCACCTCGAAATGTCTAAGCCAAGGTGGGCACTGATCATTTGCTGTGTCCAGATAGGTCATGGGGCAAAGGATCATGGGAGAAAGGCCTCAGGTGGCAATGGGGATAGGGGTCAAGTGTCAAATTATGGACTAACCGTGTCATAAACCCTAAGGCCAAACTAAATGTAGTTCCCACGTTTTCTAAAATGTCTTTTTTGTGATCCTATCACAGTTTCAGGTGATGACCAAAGTTGTCCTGGCTGGAGCAGTTCTGGGGACAGTCTATTGCTACTTTGCGATGTTGGTGTCAGACACAGACCTCCGTATGAACCAGCTGGGCTTCCTGTGCAGTGCTTTCACTATCACCATGTACCTCTCACCACTTGCCGACTTGGTAAATCTCTAGCGCGCCAGCTCAATGCGACAACGGCTTGTTTGGGGTGCAGCGCGGCCAGCTTCGACACATAGAAGCCTCTCTCTGTGAGGCTGTGGTGTCACTCCCAACGAGAGGCAGGAGGCCCAGTGTGTGGTTAGCCACGGGGCCTGAGGCCCAGTGTGCGGGTAGCCACGGGGCCTGA